ATGACCACAAGATAATGATGCGTGGCCCAAAGATAATAATGCATGGGCACAAGATAAAACATATGACCACAAGATAATGATGCGTGGCCCAAAGATAATAATGCATGGCCAAGAGATAATAATCAGCCGGTTCGGATGTTATCAGTCTATTAAATGGACATTATTACCTGTTATCAGTCCCATAGAATGGCTTCAGACTGTCCCGACAGTGCCCCCTAGTGGGTTACCTGTGCCATATACATTGGAATGCAACAATCTGCTACCGCAGAGTCCGATCTACTTTATCGTAGCCCATGTCATTTTCTCTAAAATTAACTTTAGTGCCTCATACTAACCAGCTGACAGTCTGAAGCCATTCTATGGGACTGATAACGGCTAATAACGTCCATTTAATGGACTGATAACATCCGAAGCGGGTGTAATAATGAGTGTCCACAAGACAACAATGTGTGGACACAAGAGAAATAACACAACCACAAGATAATAATGTGTAACCACGAGATAATGAATGTTCACAAAATAATAATGTGTGGACAATACAACTTATGTGACCACAAGGTGATAACACATGGCCCCAAGATAATAACTGGTGGCCACGAGATAATAATGAATGTTCACAAGACAACGATGTAAACAATACAATTTAAAAAAACGCTACCGCAAGATAATAAAGTGTAGGTCCGAGATAAGGTGTGGCCACATGATTATAATGCATGGTCACAAGATAATAAATAGTGGCTACGAAATAATGAATCTCCATAACATAATAATGAATTTTCACAAGACAACAATGTGTGGACACTATAAAAAAAATTACCGCAAGATAATAATGTGTGGGTCCGAGATGAGGCGTGGCCACATGATGATAATAATGCATGGTCACAAGATAACACATGGTTACAGGTTAATAATGCGTCGACACAAGATAATGCGTGACCACACATGTCCACAAGATAAAGTGTGAGCACCAGATAAATAACAAATGGGCATAATATAATAATGCATAGCCACAAGAGAAATAACACATGCTCACAGATAATAATGCATGAACACAAGAAAATATTTTCAACCAAAAGATAAGGACACAAGATAATTTGGGATCAGAATTTAACGCATGTCCACAAGAATAAGAGTGGACACAAGATAAAACATGTGACCATAGGATAATGTGCTAGCATGTGACCACTAGTGACCACAAGTTGACACATGCCAACAAGATAAAGTGTGGACACAAGAGAAATAACATGTGGCCACAAGATAATAATGTATGGACACATGTTAAAGCATGTTGACAAGAATAAGCGTGGACATGAGACAAATAACACTTGGTCACAATATAGTAATGTGTGGCCACACATGAAAATTAAATTCAGTGTGATGAGATCCGTATTTATTAATCCAACATGATAAAAATTAAAAAGCAACAGGAGATCTGAACAAACTTTAATTTGTGTAATCATTGACAGAACAGAAATAAAACGGAACTTGTTTAAGGAACTAAATCATTTTCAGTATAAAACACTGAACCTGTTGTTGGACCCGTTGGTTCTGATGGTTCGGATCTGGTCCACAGGCCCACACTGCTCCTGGAGAACTACCAGCCCTGGTTGGACCTGAAGGTTTTCTCCAAGGTGGACTCTTCAGTCACAGAGGTAGTCCAGCCGGATCAGTGTCAGTCTGTAAACGTCATCATGTGGTTCTGACCCGTGTTTCCTGCAGGTGTTTGAGCTGGTTCTGGAGAAGTTCGTGTTTCCCTGGTACCGGTGAGAAGAACCCACGAGACTCGGGTTTTCCTTCAGACCTGGAGAGCGGTCTCTAACCTGCGTGTGTTTTCAGGGAGATCACGGACGACGAGGCGTGTTTGGATGAAGTCAGGACCTCGTTTCGTTTCTTTGCCTCGGTGCTCGTCCGCCGAGCGCAGAAGGTTAGTCCCTCCCTCAGGTTCAAACAGGCCTTTGATCTTTGCTTTGATCTTTGCTTTGATCTCGGCTGATGTCTCTGCTCCGACCTGTTGGACAGGTGGACCTCACGGCTGTGTTTGCAGACAAAGTGATGAAGACGGTGATGAAGCACATTGAAATTATTTCGAAAGCTCGGACCAAAGGTAGGATGGCCTCCAGGAGGACGTGATGAGGACAAACCTCAGAAGGCATCAAGTTTCCAACAGATGTTTGTGTTTCTGCTTCAGTCGGGGTCGGGGACAGTTTGGAGCAGGTGGGTCTGCAGGAGTACGGCTCAGACCTTCATGTGGCCCTGCAGAGCCGCAGAGACGAGCTGCTCTACCTGAGGACCCTGACAGACCTGCTGTTCCCCCACCTCCTACCCCCTAAAGCCACTGACTGCAGGTACCCATCTGAGCCAGTCCCGGTTCTGGTCCAGGTCTCTGACTCTGTCTCTGGTCCAGGTCTCTGACTCTGTCTCTGGTCCAGGTCTCTTGACTCTGTCTCTGGTCCAGGTCTCTTGACTTTGTCTCTAGTCCAGGTTTCTGACTCTGTCTCTGGTCCAGGTCTTTGACTCTGTTCTGTCTCTAGTCCAGGTCTCTGACTCTGTCTTTGGTCCAGGTCTCTGATTCTGTTCTGTCTCTGGTTCAGGTCTTTGACTCTGTTCTGTCTCTGGTCCAGGTCTTTGACTCTGTTCTGTCTCTGGTCCAGGTCTCTGACTGTGTCTCTGGTCCAGGTCTCTGACTGTGTCTCTGGTCCAGGTCTCTGAATTTGTCTCTGGTCCATGTCTCTGACTCTGTTCTGTCTCTGGTCCAGGTCTCTGACTCTGTTCTGTCTCTGGTCCAGGTCTCTGAATTTGTCTCTGGTCCAGGTCTCTGAATTTGTCTCTGGTCCAGGTCTCTGACTCTGTCCTGTCTCTGGTCCAGGTCTCTGACTCTGTCTTTGGTCCAGGTCTCTGACTCTGTTCTGTCTCTGGTCCAGGTCTTTGACTTTGCTCTGTCTCTGGTCCAGGTCTCTGACTCTGTCTCTGGTCCAGGTCTCTGACCCTGTTCTGTCTCTGGTCCAGGTCTTTGACTCTGTTCTGTCTCAGGTCCAGGTCTCTGACTCTGTCTCTGGTCCAGGTCTCTGACTCTGTTTTGTTCCTGGTCCAGGTCTCTGGCTCTGCTGCTGCGGGAGGTGATGGCCGGGTCTGTCGTCCTTCCGACCATGGACTTCCTGGCTGACCCAGTAAGTCCACCCGAACCTTCAGAACCACCGTGTGTAGAACTGAAGAAACAGAACCGGTTCTAGTTTCAGGCAGTGAAACATTTCAAAAGTGGTCCACATGTCTTCAGTTCTAGCAGACAACATGTCAACAGCCAGAACCTTGCAGGTCCACTTGGGTCTGTGTCGGTACTGGTCCAGGTCCACATGGGTCTGTGTCAGTACTGGTCCAGGTCCAGTCTTAAAGTTCTTGTTTATCTCCTTGTTTCAGGATACTGTGAACCTGATGGTGCTTATATTCCTCGATGACACTCCGGTAAGTTGGACCGGCTCCAGAACCTTTTTGGACAGTTCTGGTTCTGACTGTTCTCTGCTGAGATGTTGAAATGTTCTGTTCCTGCAGCCTGAAGCAGCCACAGAACCTCCGTCTCCACTGGTTCCCTTTCTGCAGAGATACGCTAACGTCAGCAACAAGAAGCTGTCTGTGAGTACCAGACTGGTCCAGAACCACAGAGCTGCAGTTCTCACCTCCTGACCTGCTTCATGACTCAGTTTATGACTAGATAATGACTTGGTTTATGACCCGGTTTATGACTCGATTTATAAAGTGGTTTATAACCTGGTTTATGACTCGTATGACTAGATAATGACTCGGGTTATGACCTGGTTTATGACCTGGTTTTTGACTCAATTTAAGACTCAGTGTATGACTAGATAATGACTCGGTTTATGACTCAGTTTACAAGGTAGTTTTTGACTCAGTTTATGACCTGATTTAAGACTCTGTGTATGACTAGATAATGACTCGGTTTATAACCTGGTATATGACATGGTTTATGACTCGCGTCACAACCTGGTTTATGACCTGGTTTATAACTTGCTTTCTGACTCGGGTTACGACCTGGTTTATGACCTGGTTTATAACTTGATTTATGACTCGGGTTACGACCTGGTTTATGACCTGGTTTATAACTCGCTTTATGACTCGCGTCACAACCTGGTTTATGACCTGGTTTATAACTCACTTTATGACTCGGGTTATGACCTGGTTTATAACTTGATTTATGACTTGAGTTACGACCTGGTTTATGACCTGGTTTATAACTTGCTTTATGACTCGGTTGACGAGGTGGTTTTTGACTCAGTTTATGAACTGATTAAAGACTGTGTATGACTAGATAATGACTCGGTTTATGACTCAGTTTACAAGGTAGTTTTTGACTCAGTTTATGAACTGATTTAAGACTCTGTGTATGACTCGATAATGAATCGGTTTATGACCAGGTTTTTTGACTCGGTTTATGACTTGGTTTAAGACTCTGTGTATGACCTGGTTTATGACTCGCGTTGCAACCTGGTTTATGACTCTGGTTATGACCTGGTTTGTGACTCGGGTTATGACCTCGTTTATGACTCGAGTTATGACCTGGTTTATGGCTCGAGTTATGAGCAAGTTTATGACAACTCAGGTTATGACGAGTTATGACCTGGTTTTTGATGACTCGGGTTATGACTCGGGTTACGACCTGGTTTATGACTCAAGTTATGACCTGGTTTATGACTCGGGTTACGACCTGGTTTATGACTCGGGTTACGACCTGGTTTATGACTCAGGTTACAACCTGGTTTATGACTCGGATTATAACCTGGTTTATGACTTGGGTTATGACTCAAGTTATGACCTGGTTTATGACTCGAGTTATGACCTGGTTTATGACTCGGGTTACGACCTGGTTTATGACTCAGGTTACAACCTGGTTTATGACTGGAGTTATGAGCAAGTTTATGACAACTCGGGTTATGACGAGTTATGACCTGGTTTTTGATGACTCAGGTTATGACTCGGGTTACGACCTGGTTTATGACTCAAGTTATGACCTGGTATATGACTCGGGTTACGACCTGGTTTGTGACTCTGGTTACGACCTGGTTTGTGACTCGGGTTACAACCTGGTTTATGACTCGGATTACAACCTGGTTTATGACTCGCGTTACAACCTGGTTTATGACTCAGGTTACAACCTGGTTTATGACTCGCGTTATGACCTGGTTTATGACTCGGGTTACGACCTGGCTTACCTGCAGGTGCTGAAGCTGGAGCTGAAGGAGATCCGGGAGCAGCAGGACCTTCTGTTCCGCTTCATTAACTTCCTGAAACAGGAAGGAGCCGTTCACGTCCTGCAGTTCTGCCTCGCCGCAGGTAAGACCACCACCCAACCCGGACCCGGTCCCTTAGTGTCCCTGATTCCCTGGTCTTATCCGAGTCCCGCCTTCTTCTAGAGGAGTTCAACGATAAGATTCTGAGTCCAGAACTGAGCGACTCGGAGCTGCAGCGCCTTCATGGTGACGTGGTCCACATCTACCAGACCTACTGCCTGGAGGAGAGCCTGGACAAGATCCGCTTCGAGTCCTTCATCGTGGAGGAGCTCAGGAACAGTGAGTCGACCTCCGCTGCAGGACCAGGTTTCATCTGGTCCACATTGAGTCTTTGTTAGCAAAATATTTCATGAACCACCAGACAAGCTTTAAAGTTTTAACCCATTTCAAGATGGCAGAAAAAACTTTACTGAGTTCCTGGATTATTTTATCTTTAAACTCTGATCTGAGTTTAATTAAAGGACCAATATTACGTGTTTCTCAGGCATATATTTAAATTCTATACCATAATAAAATAACTGTCCCTTTCAGTTGTTATTAAAATTTAGTTTTTATGTTTAAATAGAAAATAAACTTGACTTCTCATCATATCTGTTTCTAAACACCTTGAAATTTTACCTTTTTAAAAACCTCCTTCGGATCCGGTCACGCCCATTTCAGAACGTCATCACAAGCTGTGTTTCCATTGACCATGAAAATGTGCAAATTAGAATTTCGAAAATAAATTTGCTCAGTGGAAACATGTTAATTTCGGGAAAAAAAAACTACGTTTTTCAACAAAATGTTTTTGCGCTAGGATGAGGTGATTTTTCGGCCGTATCGAAATATGTGTTTTTCGCAAAACTGCAATGGAAACACTTTTTTTTCGCATAATGGGAGTCACGTGATCAACAACCGGCTGTTTCTACTGGTGAAAAAGACGATGATGAAGAAGATAACAGGAAGTAGAAGTAGTAGTAATATCACAGAATTAGTACAAAATAGTAAACTCACCGCCTACAATTTCCCAAAAACACAGCATACGTAGCCGCTCCCAAGTATAAGGGGCTTGTCTCTGGAAAGCCTCGATAAAAGACGCCGACGTCTCCTCTGATGATGAGCGCTAGTGTCGCGGTAGCAACATGCTATGTGTTTACATCCATTGCCGCCATGTTTGTAATGACTCATCGCGAGAACAAACATATTCACACGTGACTTTAATAGCATTTCTTACTTAATGAAAACACCGCAGTTGTGAAACTGTTTTTCGACATTAACAGAATATTGACAAAGTTTTGCGCACATTTGCGATGGAAACGCAGCTACAGTCGCTTCTCTGCTGTCTACAACCTGGATCGTCGTAGCAGACTTTGTTGTAATGATAATAAAAAAAGCAGCAACATTATACAAGATGGGTTTTGGAAAACTGCATCTCAGGATACATATGAACCTTACTGTCGGACCGGAAATACGTTTTCTAAAGAACCGGAGAAATTACAGAGAGGACGTTTCAGCTGGTACGATTGTTTAAGTCGCTCACATTACATACACACACATACCAATCGTAATAAGAAATCTACAAATTACTAATCTTAACATATAGACCAAACAACTTGTGAACAAAACAATGTGAGTTGGGTGGGGGGTGGGGAGGGGGGGAGGGGGGAGCTCAGCAGACATGGTTTTAACCAGGTGTTTGCTAGTTGTTGCAGCCTGCAGGAGTCGCGGGGCGGGCCATGGGGGATGGGGAGGTGTGCTCTGTGATGAGGAAGCTCGGCTTGGAGACACAGCCCAGAGGAGGAGCTGATCCCAAAAGGAGGTTCTAGTCCCAACCAGTGGTTTTTGCTACCCTGCCTGGCTGCCTCAGGACACTACAGGATTTCTCAAACATGCATGAATGAGTCAAAGTAGGACTCAGGGCATGTTTTTGATGAGAGGATAACATTATGATACAAAACTCAAAAAAGTAGATTTTACATGAAATAGACCCTTTAATTATTAAACCAAAGATCAGAAATTAATCTATTATTATTATAATACATCAACCTGAAGAAGAAAAACTTCTATTGATTTTTTTAACTTCTCTGTTGGTCTCTGTCTCTAACGGTCTCTGCTGGTCTCTGTCTCTAACAGTCTCTGTTGGTCTCTGTCTCTAACGGTCTCTGCTGGTCTCTGTCTCTGTTGGTCTCTGTCTCTAACGGTCTCTGTTGGTCTCTGTCTCTAACGGTCTCTGTTGGTCTCTGTCTGTAACAGTCTCTGTTGGTCTCTGTCTCTAACAGTCTCTGTCTCTAACGGTCTCTGTTGGTCTCTGTCTCTAACAGTCTCTGTCTCTAACGGTCTCTGTTGGTCTCTGGCTCTAACAGTCTCTGTCTCTAACGGTCTCTGTTGGTCTCTGTCTGTAACGGTCTCTGTTGGTCTCTGGCTCTAACGGTCTCTGTCGCTAACAGTCTCTGCTGGTCTCTGTCTCTAACAGTCTCTGCTGGTCTTTCAGTCTCTAAAGGTCCTTACATGGAGGTGGTGAAGCTCCAGAAGATGCCGTGTCTCTTTGAGGCCTACGAGCACGTTCTGTCTCTGCTGGAGAACGTCTTCACTCCCATGTTCTGCCACAGTGACGAGGTCAGGACCTGAAGGTCTGGGATCTGCTGAGTCTTTCTTCTGCAGTCTGACTCAGTCTCTCCTCTTCTTCTCAGTACTTCAGATACCTGCTGAAAGGAGCAGAATCTCCTGCAAGAAACTCCAGAATCAGCAGGTCTGTCTCAAATGACCCAAAACTCTCCTGTCTTCATTCATCTTTCTTTGATTTCAGAACCAGCTCCGGTCTGGAAGACAACATGTAAAACCTGGTTCTGTTTAATGGACCTTAACTCCACCCGGTTCTGTTCACTAACCCTAACTTCATGTCTGAATATAAAAAGCGTGAAAAGCTGCAAGAGTTAACTGTTAAATCTAATTGTCTCTGATTGTCTCCGCTTGTCTCAGGAACCCGTCCAAACGAGGCGAGACATTTGGAATCAGCAGAATCGGCAGTAAAATCAAAGGTGTGTTCAGGAGCACCACCATGGAGGGCGCCATGCTGCCACCCAGCGCCGCCAACGACATCGATGACGACATGGTGAGCGGTCGTCTGGACCGGAACGGGTTCTGTCCTTCAGGAGACGTTCTGCCCGTGGGAACTTTCTGTTGGTTGGGATTTTCTGTTGGTTGGGACATTCTCTTTGTTGGGACGTTCTGTTTGTTAAAACATTCTGTTTGTTGGGACGTTATGTTTGTTGGGATGTTGGGACGTTCTGCCCATGGGGACGTTCTGTTGGTTGGGATGTTCTGTTTGTTGAAACATTCTGTTTGTTGGGATGTTCTGTTTGTTGGGATGTTCTGTTTGTTGGGACGTTCTGTTCGTTGGGACGTTCTGTTTGTTGGGATGTTCTGTTTGTTGGGACGTTCTGTTTGTTGGGACGTTCTGTTTGTTGGGACGTTCTGTTTGTTGGGACGTTCGTTCTGTTTGTTGGGACGTTCTGTTCGTTGGGACGTTCTGTTTATTGGAACATTCTGTTTGCTGGGACGTTCTGCCTGTGGGGATGTTCTGTTTGTTGGGACGTTCTGTTCATTAGAACATTCTGTTTTTTCGGATGTTCTGACTGTGGGGACATTCTGTTTATTGGGACGTTCTGACCGTGTGGACATTCTGTTTATTGGGACGTTCTGTTTGTTGGGACGTTCTGCCCCTGGGGATGATCTGTTTGTTGGGATGTTCTGTTTGTTGGGACGTTCTGCCTGTGGGGACGTTCTGTTCCTTGGAATGTTCTATTTGTTGGGACGTTCTGTTTATTGGGATGTTCTGTTCGTTGGGACGTTCTGTTTATTAGAGCGTTCTGTTTTTTGGGACGTTCTGACCGTGGGGACGTTCTGTTTATTGGGACGTTCTGCCTGTGGGGACGTTCTGTTCCTTTGAACGTTCTATTTGTTGGGACGTTTTGTTCGTTGGGACGTTCTGCCTGTGGGGACGTTCTGTTTGTAGGGACGTTCTATTGGTTGGGATGTTCTGTTTGTTGAAACATTCTGTTCGTTGGGATGTTCTGTTTTTTGGGACATTCTGCCTCTTGGGACGTTCTGCCTGTGGGGACGTTCTGTTTGTTGGGACGTTCTGCCTTTGGGGACGTTCTGCCTGTGGGGACGTTCTGTTTGTTGGGACGTTCTGTTTGTTGGGACGTTCTGTTTGTTGGGATGTTCTGCCCATGGGGACGTTCTGCCCATGGGGACATTCTGCCTGTGGGGACGTTCTGCCCGTTAGGACGTTCTGCCTGTTGGGACGTTCTGCCTGTTGGGATGTTCTTCCTGTGGGGACGTTCTTCCTGAGGGGACGTTCTGCCTGTTGGGACGTTCTGCCTGAGGGGACGTTCTGCCTGAGGGGACGTTCTGCCTGAGGGGACGTTCTGCCTGTTGGGACGTTCTGCCTGTTGGGACGTTCTGCCTGTGGGGACGTTCTGCCTGTGGGGACGTTCTGCCTGTGGGGACGTTCTGCCTGTGAGAACGCTCTGTTTGTTGGGACGTTCTGCCCTTGGGGACGTTCTGCCTGAGGGGACGTTCTGCCTGTTGGGACGTTCTGCCTGTTGGGACGTTCTTCCTGTTGAGACGTTCTGCCTGTGGGGACGTTCTTCCTATGGGGACGTTCTTCCTGTTGGGACGTTTTGCCCTTGGGGACGATGTTCTGCCTGTGAGAACGCTCTGTTTGTTGGGACGTTCTGCCCTTGGGGACGATGTTCTGCCTGTTGGGACGTTCTGCCTGTTGGGACGTTCTGCCTGTTGGGACGTTCTTCCTGTTGGGACGTTCTTCCTGTGGGGACGATGTTCTGCCTGTGGGGACATTCTGCCTGTTGGGACGTTCTGACCATCAGGACGCTCTGACTGTGGTTCTGTCTCATGGCAGGTGGAGGAGGCCATGATGGTCTTGGAGGACGACTGTGTCCCCGAGCCGAGCAGCGCGCTGGTGAAGCAGAGGAACCTGCAGGCGTGGAGCGTCTCCATCCCGTCCATCAGCTTCAGCGAGGACGTGGTTAAGAGGGAGAAGATCCCGGTCTTCTCCTTGGAGGTGGAGCGTAATGACAGGAAGAACAGTGAGCAGCTGCTTCCTCTCAGCTCAGTCACAGTTGACCCAGACACTCTAACATCTGTCCCTCCTCTCCATCAGTGGGTCATGAAACTGAGCGGTGGCTGATTGACAGGAGGTACCTGGAGTTCTACGTTCTGGAGTCCAGACTCACTGAGTTCCACGGTAAAAATAAACCTGGAATTAAAAAACAAAGTGTTTTATTTATAACTTATCTAATGTTTAATTTTTGTATTTTCAGGCACGTTTGCAGACGCACAGCTTCCATCCAAAAGAATTATTGGACCAAGAAATTATGAGTTCCTGGAATCAAAGCGAGAAGAATTTCAGGAATATTTACAGGTCTTTGATCCTCAGCTGCAGAAAGACTTTTATATCTGACATCACTGATTTCTGAAACGAGACATCAGTCGTACCGACAGTTGAACTACACATGTAATGGATCAGTTCTGGGTTCAGGGATCGGTTCTGGTTTCAGGGATCAGTTCAGGGTTCAGATTTCAGTTCTTGGATCAGTTCTAGGATCAGTTCTGGTTTCAGGGATAACTTCTGGGTTCAGATTTCAGTTCTAGGTTCAGTGTTCAGTGCAGGGTTCAGTTCTGGGTTCAGTGTTCAGTGCAGGGTTCAGTTCTGGGATCAGTGTTCAGTTCAGGGTTCAAGTTCTGGCATCAGTTCTAGGTTCAGAGTTCAGTTCTGGGTTCAGGGTTCAGTTCAGGGTTCAATTCTGGGTTCAGTGTTCAGTGCAGGGTTCAGTTCTAGGTTCAGGGTTCAGTTCTGGGTTCAGTTCTGGGTTGTGGGTTCTGTCTGATGATGGACCTGCTGTTTGTGTGCAGAGGCTCCTGCTCCACCCGGAGCTCAGTAACAGTCAGCTGTTGGCCGACTTCCTGTCTCCAAACAGCGTGGAGTCTCAGTTCCTGGACAAGATGCTGCCGGACGTCAACCTGGGTTTGTATCTTCATCAGAACTCATCTTCATCAGTTAAACCATCCAGCTGACAAAAACTTTTACCCACAAACGAAAATAGTTTAAATCTAAAAATGTTCCTCAAGGTTGTATTTTAGGATCCTTCATGTTTTACTGTAATGATTTATATCAAGTTTAAAGATGTTTAAATGCAGACGATGCTCTTATATTTATATCTTTTAGATTTGAGGAATCATTTAACAAAGTTTTTTCTTTTTCAGGTAAAATTTTCAAGTCTGTTCCAGGGAAACTGATGAAAGAGGTGAGTTCACAAAACCAGGTGGAGAATCACATTCCTGACCCTGTCCCCGACTGGACCCTGATTGTTCGAGTTGTGGAAATGATGGCGTGGTTCTGTTTTTGCAGAAAGGACAGAACCTGGAGCCGTTCATCCAGTCCTTCTTCAACTCATGCGAGTCGCCCCGACCCAAACCGAGCCGAGAACTCACCATCCTCAGCCCGTCTGCAGAGAACAACAAGAAGGTAAACAGGTTCCAGAAAAAACTGGGTCCAAACCAACAGATCCAAAACACGGTTTTAAAAAATCTTCAGTTTCATATTTTTACATCTTGAAGTCTGAAATTTTTGGGCCGACGGTTCAAATGAAAATAAAACGGAATTCATCATTTGTCAGTTTATAAACTCAGATTTTATTCACATGGTGCCAGAGGAGAACAGTTCTGTTCCTGTTCAGACTGTTCCACCTGTAAAATTCTCAGGATAGGCTCCACCCCCTCACGTCTGCTGACAGCTGTCTGGTTTGTGTCCTGCAGCTGTCCAACGGCCTGTTCAGGAACAACGCCAACATGTCCGCCGGCCTGGACAGGAAACACAAGTCCAACAGCTTCCTGGAGCCGATGAGCGTGGACGGCTTGTACGACTGCATGATGTATGTTGGTGAGTCGCCGCTGTCCTCTGCAGGGACATTGTCCCCGCTGTCCTCTGCAGGGACACTGTCCCCGCTTTCCTCTGCAGGGACAGGACACAGAAGCACCACATTAAAATCCATCAGACAGCAGAAAAACTCAGTTGATTTAATCTGAGACAAACTCACCAGGAAACAGATGATTTACAGTTTAACCAGCAGTGGGCGCCGCTGCACCAAGAGTCGACCCATCAGGTCCAAACATCACGGGTCTGTGTGGTCCCCCAGGTCGGGTCGTGTTCCAGGTACCGGACTGGCTACACCACATCCTGTCTGCCGGGCGGATCCTCTTCAAGAACACGTTCGAGGCCTACATGGATCAGTACATGCGGTCCAAGCTGGAGGCGGTCCTGCAGGAGCACCGCCTGGTGTCGCTCATCACGCAGCTCCGAGGTTTTTACACTTCCTGTTCCCATAAACCCGACTTCAGCAGAACCCGGGTCAGAACTTTAACGTATCAGATGGACAGTCGTGATGTCAGGAAACAAAACTATTTGCTGTTGATTTATACAATTGTTAAATCCACTGAAACAATGTTTTAATCACTCTAGCTTTTAGCTTGTCTTTTGCTTCTTGTAGCTTTTAACAAATGTTTGTCTTTTTTTAGCCTTTAGCACGTTTTTTTTAGCTTTTAGCACATGTTTATCTTTTTTTTAGCTTTTAGCACATGTTTATCTTTTTTAGCTTTTAGCACGTTTATTTTCTTTTAGTCTTTAGCACATTTTCAACTGCTTTTAGCCTTTAGCACATGTTTATCATCTTTTAGCCTTTAGCACATGTTTATCTTTTTATTAGCCTTTAGCACATGTTAATATTTTTTAGACTTTAGCTCGTGTTTCTTTTTTTAGCTTTTAGCACATTTATCTTCTTTTAGCTTTTAGCACATTTATCTTCTTTTAGCCTTTAGCACATTTATCTTCTTTTAGCTTTTAGCACATGTTTATCTTCTTTTAGCTTTTAGCACATGTTTATCTTCTTTTAGCTTTTAGCACATGTTTATCTTCTTTTAGCTTTTAGCACATGTTTATCTTCT